TGACGTTGTTGGAGTTATCTCCTCCTTAATTTCGTAATTGTCACTAGGGGTCGCTCTCCCTACACTATAAATACTAGGCGACTTCTTGCCTCGTTTTCTTTTTCACTTTGCATTTCAGCGGACACATTTAAAAATGTGATCTCTCGCAGAGAGCCGCGTTTTCACACACTTGTGGGAAAACACCATCAAACACACATACACGTACGTACGAACGTACAAACTCTTTACGTTCACACACAAACACAAATGTTGATGTCTTTGTCACTTGTAAATTTGTTGTTTAATACATATATTTGTTGACATATATGTATCGGTCTTGTTTGTTTTCTTTACATCTTCGGTTGGACTTAACTTGAGTCCGCCATGTTCTTGTAGTTGGACCTTCTAGCAGGAATAAACAGCACGTGTTTCTAATTCAACAACACTTAACCCACACGGTCCTCTACAACGTCATTACCACTGCGATGTGATTTTTACATCATTCAAATTGTTTTTTAATATTATATATTCGGAAGTTAGGAAATTACTTATAAAAAAGAGAAAAGAAATAACATAAAAGAGAAGAGAAATAACATAAATTTATGTAAATCTTATTCAGCGAAAATGTAATCACTTTGCATTGCTTTGTTTGCTTTACGACGTATCAACCAATTGGGTCATTTAATTCCGAAATTTAATGTTTTCCTAAACAAAGCCATGTATTTAAACAGTCTGTGCAGTGAACAGCCATAGTTAAATGCAAAATAAGTAACAGAACTTTCCAACAAACAGAATTGATAAAGTTTGCAATAATAAGAAAAAGAAAAGACGAAAGCAAAAAATAATATAAAGCAAGCAAACAAGATATGCAAGGAAAAGTAACAGTAATAAGGCAAAACAGCAGTAATATGGCAAAAAGTTCACAAACTAAGAATTGGAGTTGACACACAAGAGTAAATTCAGATAAGTGAATGTAGCATTCTGACTTCAAAGACAAGACAGACCGGGACTGGGTCAGATGAAACCGAGAACTGGACTATTTTATTGGCTAGGAAAAACTCCCAGCACCGATTTGTGTGCTTCTGTCTATAAATTGAGGACTGGAAAATATTTTACAATCCTTCCCTTGCTGATTGAAACCAGCACGGTCATTTTTTTTTTTTTTTTTTTTAGTAAGATTATTGTGAGTTATGATTATTTTTTTAATTATATATATCAGTTTTGTAGGTAACTTTACTATATAAAAATGCATTGCTGGTATTTTTAATATAAAAATGTATTTTTATATTTTCATAGTGCTTTGTTTTAGGGTTCATTATTTGCTCATAGCTGGGACCCTGACAGGTGCTACCACCCCGGGACAGAATGGACCTGGGGAATAACAGCAATTAAGAAGTTGTTTCAGATTCCTCAAAAACTCCAATCTCCCAATCTGACGCCTTACTGCCGGATGTAGTTTATCGTCATACCCAGGATTAACAAATGCATTGAGAATCAGTTTTCTCTTACCATACAGTTTTATTTTACTTATGTTCACCCTTATACACGACCAAAAGCCACTCAAGGCAGAGCGTCACTGAAGGGGGTTGTTGTAAGAGGCGAAATTTATGAGAATATGTGGATAAGATAACTGTTAGGAACAGTAGTAATCGGGAAAGCATCCTCTTGGGAGCCAGTGGTTCGTAGGAAGAGGTTGTTCAACTTAATTCTAATTAATGGTATATGAATGGAATGAGGGTGGTTTGCTTCTGTGTAATAGTTTTTACCAATTTAGTCTCATAGACCATTACTACATCATTGAGTTTGATCCTTACTCAGTGCTCCACATTTGTGGCCTTGTGCCAGATTAAGCTAGATTTAATAAATATGTATAGAGAGGGTTGCGGAAAATACTTACTTTCGAAAATTCTGGCCAAATGTGCAAACAATGTATTTTCGTATATCTTCTTGGTCCGGCTGAGAACTTTTCGGCATCGACATATTAGCAATGTCTTCGAATGTAAACCTTGAACAATAAACTCATTCATTTCTTCAAGAATGTTTTTCACTGCATTTCAAGATTATAGAAAATCCCAACCATTCGAAACGGTAATATGGTCTGAAATGAAACAGGAAATAAAAATGCCAAGAAATTTATTTGCTTTTGATTCAGGTGTAAATTCGGATCTTGATTGTTACTCAAAAAAATATTTCAATCAATAATTTGCTTTCTAATTAATTTTTGCTTCAGTATTCATAAGATTAACTCTATAATTAAAAAACACTTTACTTACATCATAATAACTATGGGGAAGAAAGACATTAGAGTCATGATTTGAGGTTAGGTTAGTAGGTTTCAGAACATTTCAAAATGTGTTGACTTATTAAATGTTGAATATATGTCTCACAGGACGAAAATTACAATGAATCGATAAAAGTATACGTAAGTCTAGTTTGCATTAGAATCACAAAGGTAGACATAGGTTGGGTTTACTGTAGAGTGAAAAAGTAGATATAGGTCCATTTTACACTAGAGTCAATATGGTACACATATGATTATTTTACACCAGAGTGAAAATGTAGACATAGGTCGATTTAATAGTCGAAAAGATAAGCATAGATCCATGTTACACTACAGTGGAAAAAGTACACATAGGTTCATTTTGCACAAGTCAAAAAGATAGATATATGTCCATTTTATACTTATCAAAAAGGGAGACATAGGTTCATTTTACACTAAAGCGAAAAGAGGTAGACATACGTCTATTATACACGAGGCAAAATTGTAAATATAGGACCCTATTACACTAGAGTGAAAAAGTAGAAGTAGGTCTATTTTAAGCTAGAATGAAAAAGTAGACAGATCTATTTTAAGCTAGAATGAAAAAGTAGACAGATCTATTTTAAGCAAGAATGAAAAAGTAGACAGATCTATTTTAAGCAAGAATGAAAAAGTAGACAGATCTATTTTAAGCAAGAATGAAAAAGTAGACAGATCTATTTTAAGCAAGAATGAAAAAGTAGACAGATCTATTTTAAGCTAGAATGAAAAAGTAGACAGATCTATTTTAAGCAAGAATGAAAAAGTAGACAGATCTATTTTACTCTAAAGTCAAAAAGGTTGACATAAGTCGATTTTACACTCGAGCAAAAAAGATAGAAACATATCCATTTTACACTAATCAAAACAGTATACATAGTTCCATTTTACACTAGAGTTAAAAAGTAATCATAGGTCGATTTGACACTAGATTGGAAAAAGTAGACATAGGTCCATATTACAGTAATGTCAAAAAAGTTAGACATCGGTCCATTTTACACATGTCAAAAAAGGGCACATATATTTATTTTACCCTTGAGTAAAACGGAGACAAAGGTCGGTTTAACACTAGAGTGGAAAAAATAGGCATATATTCATTTTGCACTATTCAACAAAGTAGACATAGGTCCATGTTAGACTAGAGTGAAAAGGTAGATATAGGTCAATTTTGCGCTACACATAAAGGTAGACATGGGTCCATGTTAGCTAGAGTGAAAAAGTAGACACACGTTCATTCTACACTAAATTCAAAACGTTAAACATAGATCCATTTCATACTAGTCTAATAGGTAGACATAGATGAATTTTACACTAGTGAAATAGGTCCATTTTACTCTAGTGTGAAAAAGGTAGACGTAGGTCGAATTTACACTAGAGTGAAAAAGTAGACATAGGTCCATTTTACACTAAGATGAGAAAAGTAGATAAGGGTCCATTTTTGCACTAATATCCAAAAGGTACACATACGTCAATTATACACTAGAGTGAAAAGGTAGTCATACGTTCATGGTACACTAGAGCGAAAAGGTACACATAGATTAATTTTAAACTAGAGTGAAAAAGTCGACATAGGTCCATTTTACACTTCTCATAAAGATATGCATAAGTCCATGTTATAGTAGAGTGAGAAAAATAAACATAGTTAGATTTTACACTAGAGTGAATAATGTAGAGGGCGATTTAACACTATATTGGAAAAAGTTGACATAGGTCCATTTTACACTAATGTCAAAAAGGTAGATATAGGTCGATTTTACTCTAGAGTGAAAAAATAGACATCAATCGATTTTACACTAGTTTCAAAAAGTTGGACATATGTCCATGTTACACTAGTGTGAAAAGGTAGACATAGGTTCATTTTACACTAGAATCAAAATGATTGACATAGGTTCATTTTATACTAAACGGTAATAGGTAGATATAGGTCAATTTTACGCTAGATTGACGAAGGTAGATATAGCTCCGTTTTACTCAAGATTCTCAAAGGTAGACATAGGTTCGGTTTACACTCGAGTCAAAAATATAAACACAGATAAGGTTTACACTAAAATAAAAACGTCCAGTTTACAAGAGTGAAAAAGTGGCCATTGGTCCTATTTACATAAGTCAAATGTCAGCAATAGGTGCATTTTATTCTAGTATACTTTTATACTAAATAAGTTTGACAAAGGTTTCGTTTACACAAAAACCAAAAAGGTGGACATAAATCTGCTTAGCACTAGAGACAAAAAGGTAGACATAGCTCCAATTTACCCTCAAGATTATTTGTATCTATTTTGTCCCTTTTTTTCTGGTGAAGGTCGTAGACCTCTGCAAATGACAGTCAGTTTATTTTAAGCCCTGCTGACAAAGCTAAAATTGTTTAAATAATAAGACAAAACTTTTTTTTTGTTTAATTCGTTTTCTACAGCTTATCAACCAATTGCAACTTACTTAAAATCAGAAAATATTTATAGATTGTAATTTTTTTTTTTTGAGATAATAACAGTTTAGTTATATTAGTCTTGCTAATTAGCCCCTAGTTGGCTGGAAGATTCATACCTTTCCTAGGCGTATTTGAACGTAAGTAAATATGACGAACCCACGGAAATTGGAACTCGGCTCTCTGATTTACACTTCCGAGCTATTAACCTTTATACTACCCGCACATCCAAACTTACAGTACTTGGTATTCCCAAGCGGTCACCCGTCATTATATTACCCACATGTCCTAGCTTACAACAGTCACCCATCTTAGTACTCACCAGGCTTAATGTTGCTTAACTTCGGTGATCGTATGGGAACCGGTGTTTCAACGTGATGCGTACATCCAATCTAACAGTACATGGTATTTCCAAACGGTTACCCATCTAGGTACTGACCAGGCTCGACGTTGCTTAACCTCCGTGATAGTACGGGAACCGTTGTCGGCACTCTATGATGTAACGTCACTAGGCGGCCGTCAAGTGACCCACGTGACTTCTTCCCGACCAAAAAGCTATAATCGCCTTTTGTATCCCTACAAGGTTCATAACAACATTGACCAGTCCCATATCCGGACGGGTTCGTAGGGTCAAACGTAACTGAGCACTTGAACAGTCTCCTTCACATACCTGGGTTTAAAGTCAGGGTGGCATTCCAGCAGGGAGAATCCTAGCACAACCATAGACAGATTTCAAACAATTCCGTTGACCAAATTTAATTCACAAGGTTTGGGTCAACCAACGGTATGGTTTTCAATCTCTTTCCGACGGTGCTGAACGCCGCCTATGAAGTCATCCCCTTGACAAATTCCCCATGGTCTTATAGAATCTTAAAGTTATAACCACTCGACCACTATTGTGGCTAATTACAAATCATTGTACTTTTGTAGTCAGTTTGCAAATACATTCACCCTCTACATCCAATCGTATATTGTAAGTTCTGTAAGTTTGTTCGTGTCAACAGGTGAAATATTTTATGACGCATCGCATGGAGAATTCATCTCGTATATAAATTTTGTGGATTTGGTTGCAGTAAAAAATGTTAATGTATTGTGCTGTATTTTTTATTGGTGCTGTTTAGTTTCTGTAAGAATAATCTTATTTATTGATAATGTACTTGGGGAAATTATTGTTAACCAATTATTTATAACTATATATATATATATATATATATATATATATATATACGGGGTCAGATAATATTACAGTTGATTTGTTCATTGGTAAATGGAATGGTAGCGTAGGCGGTTATCGGCACGAAAAAAATGTGATTGTGCGGCACAATAAGCCCTCATACAACCAACTGAACACAGATGAAGTCAAGTGTTCCCTAAATAATGTTATCTGTGTCTGAAGTGTATCAGGCTTCATTACCAGTGATAAGTTCTTTGAGATGGACTTTCTGAAATGAAAACCGAAAACAAATAAAGCAATAAATAAATATAAACTTGTGAGATCAAGTGACACTTGTTCGGATGTTATAGGTTTCCGCTTGCAGTCTAATTTAGTCACGTTTGAGAGAGGAACCATCCGTTCAACCAGTCAAGTCAATAGCAGTAATACTAAAAAGAAGCAAAGGGACCAATGAGCCACGTACATACCCCACTACTCGAGAGAGTGATAATTCAACTCGAAACTCGGCCAGTGAATAAATAAACAAATTATTCAAAAGAAGATTCCTGTTTTCGTTTGTTGTGGCGTTGATTTCATCTTCCGTTCCCTTAGGAACGAGCCAAGCTAAGCCAAGCCATGTTAATATTCCTTCCTTCCTGTCTGCTTTCATTCATTCATTCTTTTCCCCCGCTATCTTTGGTTTTTCTGTCTTTAATCCATGTTAATCTAACTTCATTGCGTAATTTATAGAAACGAACAGCACCAGTTACTTGTTAACTGATTGTTTAATCATTTAAACTCAATTTACAAAATTGTTTTGTGACTAAGACGTCATTTGTTCTGGGTATGACGATAAACTACATCCGGCAGCAAAGCCTCTCATCGAGAGATTGAAGGTTTTGAGGAGCGTGAAACTACCTCTTAATTCCACGGGGTGGTAGCATCTGTTAAGGTCTCAGATATGGGCAAATAGTTAACCCCAAACTTGGGTCAAAACACTGTGAAAGTATGAAAATAGATTTTTATAGTAAAAATACCAGCAATACATTTTTGTAAAATAAGTATTACTAGCATGTTCATACGAATCTATCCTAAAAATCTTGTCGCCATTAAATAACCCATTGAGCTGTTGATGTGTCATAAAAAAAAATAAACTAGGATGTCGTTACTCATCTTTCTAATTAAACACTCCAGCAGAGCGACCCATTGCGCATTCTCAGGTTAACGTTTCCGCTGACATGTAGTAGGGAAATCGTATTGGATCAGGTCTATCCCCAGTGAGCGAAATAAAGGGTTCAGTTCGACATTCCAACCATCTGAAGAAGGCTGGAGCGTACAACGGCCGAAACGTTGTAATAAATATGGCGACAAAGATGAGGACAATAGTCCGAATAATGTAAATAGTGTACATAATACCTCATCTCAGAAATATAAACAGATACTGAAGGGCCTAAACCTTGTAATAAATATGGCATCAAAGATCAGGACAATAGTGCGAATAATGTAAATAGTGAACATAATACCCCGTCTCAGAAATATAGATAGAAACTGATGGTTGATAAATATGGCAACAAAAATGAGGACAATAGTCCAAATAATGTAAATAGTGTAAATAATACCTCATCTCAGAAATATAGACAGATGCCTCCAGTTGCATATAAAGATTTTAAAAGTAGTTTTGAAAAAGTAAAAACAGGGATTATTAGCTCGGGACATTCTTAGTTATGACAATGATCTATCACGTATGTGCGTTGTGGGGTAATGGATATCGGCTCGTAATAAGAACTCGGAGAGCCGGGTTCGAATCCCACTCGAGTTCGTTATATTCACTTTCGCACAAATACCCTTGGGAAAGGTGTAAATCCATCTCTTCTCTCTCCCAGCTATGGGTTGAATAGCAGGACAGACTAGTTTTTTTAGCCTTGGTTGGCAACCAGTCTACCGTAGAAAGAAATGGCAACCTACTTCTGAAAAAAATCTTCTGCCTCGTCAGCTATGTATCACGTGTTGCACTTAACTGACTGACATTGTTCTGACTGTTGTCCTCATCTTTATTTAAAGATTCACGACGTTTCTGCCTTCTTCAGGTGATATACTTTGGAATTTCGAACCGAACCCTTTATTTCGTCCACCGGGGTAGATTGTTCTAATTCCACGTGCCATGCCTTTTCTGTTTATCTCTTTTTTAGTTATCTTCCTTCAGTAACTCAACTCTTCGGGTTTTCGTTCACCTTTGCCGTGGCCAGGTATTGAACTCACAACTCTTTGCATCACATCACTGGATTAATTTAGGCAATGCATTTATCCACTGAGCCATGTGTCCTTGACACGTGGAACTAGACAATCTACCCCACTGGCGAAATAAAGGGTTCACTTCGAAATTCCAACGTATATCATCTGAAGAAAGACGGAGCGTACAACGGCCGAAACATCGTGAATATGACAATAAAGATGAGGACAATAGCCCGAACGATGTAAATAGTGTAAATAGTTAAAATACCTCATCTCAGAAATATAGACAGGTAACACTGCGGTTGACCCCAGGAAACCCAAATCAGAGGAGGACTTGATATTAATATCTGTGTTAGACAGCACAAGTTAAAAGCTTTGGAAAAAGTAAATATTATGGAAGTGCTTTTGTCATCAGTACCAAATGAAAGAATAACATCCATATAGATACTGGAATATCTCAGACAGAAAATTGGTTTTGTTGTTCAAGACAAATAAGAAATATGATTACTTTTAGACATTCTATAAATTTGAAAATACATAGAACACTAAGTGAAATGAATACCTAGAACAGTTATTCCCAACCTCTATTCCATGGCACACTAGTGTGCCACGTGATCGTCTTAAGAGTGCCGTGAAATATATGTGTGTATGTGGAAGTAGTAATGACACAGTGTTAGTATTTAAATAAGTGAATTAGTATTAAACTGTTTTCAACTAATTCTTTTCACTATTCTTCAATTATGTTATTTTAAATACTTTGTTTTAATATTCATTCAGAGAGAAAGAGATGGAAGAGAATGGTGACCACGGAGAGTGGTGAACACAGCGGCTTATTTAGTGTAAAACCTGTGGCTTGTGTTTTTTTTTATATGAGAGAGAGAGAGAATTTCCTCGGCCGAAAGTATGGGGACCCAGAAAGGATCGAACTCACTACTCAGTCGTAATTGTTCTAGCGAGACAAGTTTGCTAGCCATTATATGTGGGAGGCACGGTGGAGTAATAGATAGCGGCTTGGATTGAGGAATCGGAGAGCCGAGTTCGAAATCCAGTCGAATCCACTTACATTCATTTACGTGCTAATACCCTTGTGAAAGGTGTGGATCCTCTTCTCCCTCCAGCTATGGGTAAAATAGCAGGACAAACTTGGTTCTATAGCCTTGGAGAAAGAACAAATCTGAATTCAGGAACAACTCTGAATTGGGGACCTTGTGGCACATAGTGCACCAGGTCTCTGTAATCGGCCCTTCAAAAAGTGTGGATGGTCCTGCCCGAAACCTTCACCACTATAATCAAATCTCTTGTGCTGTTGTCGGGCTATCGGTTTCCTAGGAACTGATCTACTTGACCCTCATACGTCGAATTCGACGGGAGAGTCGAATATATATATATATATATATATATATATATATATATATATATATATATATATATATATATGCCGTGACAACATTTAGCGGCCAAATCACTGACTAAAGTGACAAGCATTAAAAAAAAGATCAATGTTTGCTTATAGACTCAAGTATATAAATAACTCGGCCATTACATATCTATAGAGTCTATTATAAACCTAACCATTGTTTCTCCATCACTTATTCATTTAGTGCATTTTGCAATGCTGTGGTCACCACTCTCCGCCGCTGTGATCACCATCCTCTTCTATCTCTTTCTCTTTGAATGAATATTAAAACAAAGTATTTAAAATAACATAATCGAAGAATAGTGAAAAGAACTATTTGAAAACAGTTTAATACTAATTCACTTATTCAAATACTAACACTGTATCATTAATACTTCCATATACACACACACACATATATATGTTATAGACAAACGTATGGTTGCAAGAAAGAAATACGATAGATTTACGTGATTTATTTCAGTAGGAACGATTAGGTTTGGGACAGCTACCTTGTGGTATAGTTCATAAGCCGGCTTCCGATCTGAGTTGATCTCTCATAGTAATTCTCACTGGTTGGCGTGGCACTCCTC